TCAAAAGAAATACCGTGAGAAAAAAAATTCCAAATTTTTTTATTAGGACTCCTCCCAGACAGGAAAAGTTTATCGAACTCAATCATTGCACACGTCAGGTAGCTTGTTTATTCAGCTTCAATTAGATTTCTGAAAAGTACGACTATTTGTTGCTGATTTAATGAAAAATTATATTTCTGTCTTTAAGCATAGATATTTCAGCAACAAATTGCACGGTAAATTCAAGGGTGGTTTTGAAAACTTTAACAAATTCTTTACAAGGACCTATCGCGGTTTTCGAAGAAAAAATTTAATTTCCTCCTTGACATTAATTTGAAAATTGTGCAAAAATTACGGTTCAGGTTTTTTAGGAAATTTACCGCAAATTTATAAAAAAGAGTAATGTTGAGAGAAATTATTACAGCTCATTGTACCCACAATAACCCTGTAAATTGACAAATTGAACCATTTCTCTGTACAAAATGATCAAAGTTTTGGAAAGAAAAAAGAACGCGTTTATTGCTCTTAAACATTATACAGCACTTCAAAAAATGTTCTGTACCAGAGACATGAGTACATAGATCTTGTATATTTTCCGAATCCGCAGACCGAAAACCGATTTACCAGGGCATTTTTCAGTAAAACGCTAAAATATCCCCTATAGGCCAATCATTATAGCTTTTTTTCGGGAAAAAATACTATTAGAAGTTTCTCTGCGGAATATTGTTCAGAAACGTGTTATAAACAAAATATCAAAAAATCAACTCGAGACTAGTTGGGAAACTTTGTTAAAACAATGGTCAAAATTATGGAAAAGTAGTTTTTCGACTGGCGTAAAAAAACTGTTATTCATAGAGAAAAAAAGGTTTATACAAAAAAGGTAGGTATTAAATAAATCTGTAAAATAAGACAAGTCCGATTAAATTCCGATAATTTGTTTATGCGCAAGAGCTCAAAAATGGTCGAAATTGTCCGCTTTTTTCAATTGCTAATAATTAATGCAATTTTCATCGCAGACACTTGTAATTCAGGATTTTTGAAGCTTTTTGCACCCTTAATAAGTGGTAAAAATTTCAGCCCAAAAACTTCATTAGCTTGGCGTTGGCGGAATTTGTTATCTAAGAAGATGCTATTTTCAATTCATTTTTCCCAAGCTCACAGGCGTTGTAGGGTTTCGATCATTAGTTGTTTTTGTACCTAAATAGTTGTATTGACATATGCATTTACTGATAATTTAATTTTTCAAATTTAATTTGTTTAAAAATGACTGAAAAAATGTTAATATTTATTACATCGTTAAGCGCGCATGCTAAGCCTCGCCTTCCCCACTCGTTCGCTAGACCAAGTAATAGAACGCATCGCCGCTATCTTCTTTTTCGAAATTAAATAGTTGAATTCACCTTAATGTTAATGTAGGACATGAAAATATAGCTCTTAATGTATACTCTCTCCAAATTTCGGCTCTTAATATTAATAATTAAGGTCACTGCGATTAAATAAATAAAAAAAATTATCTCAGCTTCTAATCAACTTACAACAACGATTTTTTTTTTAAATTCGAAGAAAACTAAAGTAAAGAGGTTACTATTTTATTTTATAATAATTACCTATCTTAACAATTTAATAAATATTAACATTTTTTCAGTCAATTTTAAACAAATTAAATTTGAAAAACTAAATTCTCAGTAAATGCCTATGTCAATACAACTATTTAGGTACAAAAACAACTAATGATCAAAACCCTACAACGCCTGTGAGCTTGGGAAAAATGAATTGAAAATAGCATCTTCTTAGATAACAAATTCCGCCAACGCCAAACCAATGAAGCTTTCGAGCTGAAATTTTTACCACTTATTAAGGGTGTAAAAAGCCTCAAAAATCCTGAATTACAAGTGTCTGCGATGAAAATTGCATTAATTATTAGCAATTGAAAAAAACGGCAATTTTCGACCATTTTTGAGCTCTTGTGCATAAACAAATTATCGGAATTTAATCGGACTTTTTTCATTTTATAGGCTTATTTAATACCTACCTTTTTTGTATAAACTTTTTTTCGCTATGAATAATAGCTTTTTTACGTGAGTCAAAAAACCACTTTTCCATAACTTTGACCACTGTTAAAACAAAGTTTCCCAACTAGCCTCGAGTTGATTTTTTGATATTTTATTTATAACAGGTTTCCGAACAATATTCCGCAGAGAAACTTCTAATAGTATTTTTTTCCCGAAACAGGCTCTTTCATGTCTATAATGACTGGGCTATAAAATAGGATGAAATTGTGAAGATAAGGTACATCTTTATAATAAAAAGCAACAATACGTGAATACTTTCATAAAATATTTTATAATAATATTTTAAGCATGGGAAATAAATAGATATATGCAAATTAAATCCACTTCCACCCCTACAACGGGTTTTCATTAGCAACATTGTTATTTTTAAACAATTTGGGTTCCAGTGTTCCAATATATTGGAAAAAATATTGATTTTAGAGAAAAGTGTTCAACAGACGAAATATGAGTAATAAAAAAACCTACCAAATGCCGCCTAATAGATTAAACTCGGATAAATTGTTTAAAAGTTATTGAAAAAAAACATAAAAAAACGTGGAAAAACAGCATTTTTAGATTATCCATAACTAAAATAAAATTTTAATAATATGAAAAAACAGTTTTTTGATTATTCTTCTTTTGGATAGGTTGCTTGATATTTTTCTACACGACCATATTTCATACAGCCTTTAGAAAATCACTAAAAAATGTTTGAAATTTTTTCCAGTAGTATATGTAAAGGTCAACTCTACTGATACGTAGTGAAAGGTGTGTTTTGGTAGACAATACCCACAGTTGCTTTATAGTTACTATATGCTAAGTTTTATCGACAAATCTCTATTTGTTGTGAAAACTATTATGTCTTAATACGCATTTCAAATGAAACGAAAAGATTAAAAACTCGCTTTATTTTTAAAATAAAAACAATATGTAAGCCTATTAAATAACAATAACAAACGGTTTCATATCGATATGGCAAGTATAAAAAATTAAATAACAACAGGAACTTTCACTGGGTTAGCTAAATTTAACAGAGCTAATGAACCATTGATGAATTGTTACGGTTAAATTCTCAATAAGTAGTTATTTACAGAATAATAGATTTCTTCAGTATACTTTGCCAAGAATAACACAGAATATCGGCATTTAGACTACTTTCTAAAATTACTCTAAACACTTATAATAAATGCGGAAATAGTATTTGGTACCACACCAGATCTTTCCTCAACCAAGAGGAATTAAATTGTTATATAAGTTACAGGAACAGGAAATCGTTGATTCACAGCCACACAGAAAAAAAAGTTGGGTATGCTTTTTATGCGACATATATTTTTCGTAGTAATTTGGCCTCCTGAACACGAAATTGCGGTCAGAATTGGCCCATCACGTCACAATTTTTTCCTAACCTCAAAAAACTTGTGAAAAATAGTGAAAATTGATGAAAATTTACTGGGAAAATTTGGAAAAAAATTTATTTCCACATCAAATAGTACATTTTTATGTAAAAGACTCTGCTGAATCCAAATCCACTGTCAGAATTGACTAGAACGTGTATTTTTTTTCTAACCTCAAAAAACCGAGCAGGAATCGCTATTTTCAAATTCTGAGCGGATTTTGACCAGATTTTGTATAAAGGTGTTTTTTGGGTCGCTGATTACGAATATGAATTCACATTGTAAAAATTCACGATGGCTGATGGCGGGTGTACTTTTTTGAAATCCACCGATTTCAGTAAAATTTGGGATCATAAGGATTGCTGGTTGATCTCACCTTCATTATCTGGAGCCAGATTTTCATAAATCAAGGTAAAAGATTCCACTCCGTCTAAAAATGTGACTTCGCTTAAAAAAATGACTTAAGGACTCTGCACATGTAACGATGTGTAGTGTGATGTGCTTGTTTCCATGGGACAAGACAAAAAAGTTTCTACTTTATTCTTTCATTTATTTAGTCGTGCATGGGCTTATGGTTTTCCAATCAGATTTTTTTAACTACTATGCAGTTTTCCTATGGCATTTAGATGCTTTTATTTCTTAATAATTTTAAAGTTCAAGGAAAATGACACATTACTGCCACACAGCACATCACTGCATCTGCTTATGCCTTCAATCTAAAAATGTGACTTTGTCGAAAAAATGCCGCCTACTCGGCCTAAAATTATGACTCTGCCTACAAATTTTACCTTGATTTATGAAAATCTGGCTCCAGATGTGTGATTAATGAAGGTGAGATCAACCAGCAATCCTTATGATGCCAAATTTTACTGAAATCGGTGGATTTCAAAAAAGTACACCTGCCATATTGGATCATCCATCTTGAATTTTTACAATGTGAATTCATATTCGTAATCAGCGACCCAAAAAACCCCTTTATACAAAATCTGGTCAAAATCCGCTTAAAATTTGAAAATAACGATTCCTGCTCGGTTTTTTGAGGTTAGAAAAAAAAAACACACGTTCTAGCTCAATTCTGACAGTGGATTTGAATTCAGCCGAGTCTTTTACATAAATATGTACTATTTGATGTGGAAATAACTTTTTTTTCCAAATTTTCTCAGGAAATTTTCATCAATTTTCACTATTTTTTGAGGTTAGGAAAAAATTGTGACGTGATGGGCCAATTCTGATCCCAGATTCGTGTTTAGGAGGCCGAATTACTACGAAAAATATATGTCGCATAAAAAGTATACCCAACTTTTTTTTTCTGTGTGGCTGTGATTATTTGAAAACTCCCCTTTTTTTTTGTGGAAAAAGTATCATTTTTTTATACAAATTATCTTTCAGTGCATTATTCTTAGTTAGAGAAAGATAATATTTGAGCTTCTTAAGGATTATTAGGTCCAATATGATTAAAATCGTTTGCAGAACACAACTATTGAGTATATGCGAAATGAAGAAAGACCTTGGGGATATCATAGCAATCAACGCGCTTGTACTTACACTATCAAAATCTTTGGTACCTGCCACCTTTTTAGTGCTTGTGACTTCCTTTGAAGCCGTATTCTTTTCCTCCATGTTCACCTCCCTCCTTCTTAAACTCCTTGTGTTTGTCGTGGTGGCGTTCGTGACCATCGTCTGCTTTGAAACCTTTGTGTTCTTCCTCCACCTTTCCATGATCTGAGTGACCCTTCTTCCCGGATTCTTCCTTTTCGTGTCCAGACTTGTGACTACCTCCTTTCTTGTAATCACCCTCTTTCTTCTCATGGTGACCGTGGAAATCGCCATGCTTACTGTGGTGACCACTCTTGTGGTAGTCGTCGTAAAATCTATGCTCCTTGTGGTACTCGTCCTTGTGGAATTTGTTGTGGAACCCCTTGGTTTTGTGACCCCTCTTGTGGCCCTTCTTCTCTCCGAATTTAGCCGCTTTGTGGCCCTTTTTGCTGTCATGGAAATCTTTGTAGTGGCCGGCTTCGTCGTGGTTACTGTGCTCGTGGCCGCCCTTTTCCGCGACGTGGCCTGCATCGTGGACCTTACCGTGGTTTTGGTGGTCCGCTACGTCGTGGTGGTGGTTGGATTTGTACCCCTTTTTCCTTTGGCCGCCGTGGCTAGAATAGTGGTCTTCGTGCTTCTTTTGGCCGGTTTCTGCGGAGAAATGGGCCCCACCTAGTGAAAAATAATTCGAAACTGTGAAATGTTTCTCAAGTATACAGGATGTGTTCTAAATTCTTGTCGTAATTGCGGGAGGATCATTTTAGGGAGTTTAAAATTAATATCTTTATGGAAAAAGGTGCCATAAGTTCAGATGTTGATAGAAAATAAAAAAATAAGACAATTTTTTCCTATGTACCAAGACTCTTCTGTATTTGAATTACTAATACGATTTTTTGAAATCAAATTTTAGATATATTTTGCGTAAAAAGAATTTTATTTTGACAAAAAAATATCTAAAACCGAAAAAATCATACAAATACAAGAAAATAACTATGGAAACAGACAGAAACAAATTAAAACTGTCAAAAATAACTAAAATAACCAAAACAATAAAGAAAAGAATATTTTTATTTTACACAAAAAGTGCTGTAGATGAACTCGCTGAAATCAAAATCGTTTTTGTGAAAACCGTAATTAACTGTCCCATAGTCCATTAACAACACAAAGGAATGGTATAAACTAGCTTTAAAAAATTATGTTAGTATCAGTTAAATTATAATATATATTTTTTTAATGCTCTTGATCAAAATCAATTAATTTTTATCCAAGGAAAATATTTTTAAAGCAAAACCTATTTCGCATATTAAGGAATAGAAGCTGGTTAAGTTTAGGACAGTCAATCGCGTCTTTCCCAAAAAAATGGTGTGTTTTCAGAGGTTTCAACAGAAGTTTTACTAAGAGCAAAGAATGTTTGTTTTGGAAAAGGTATATTAAAAATTTAATTTCAACAAATTTTCTTTGACGTTCTGTATCCTAAAGACAAAAGACAGAAGGCGCAAGAAAACAGATCTTACTCTTTGATGATCCATCAGTTTTTGAATTTGTGGTACCATTTTGGCAACAATGAATTTGAGCTTGAGCTAACAAAGTAACTAATTAAAAACAAAAATTCAAGAATTGGTTTTATATAAACCAATGGATGTGAAACATTGTTTTTATGTCAAATGCCATCAGAGATATTTGAGGTGGAATGATATTTTTTAATGTACAGAACTGTACCTGGAAAACCTGTGGATTTAGACTTTTGGTCCAGTAAACCTTTTGTATAAAAGCTCTATGGAAAAACCTCTTCAAGTTATGAAATGGATTTAGAAAACTCAATACGCAGGCGTCACAGTAAATAAGTATTAATTTTTCAAAGGAAACAGATTTATTAAGTGAGAAAAAAATTTACAGGGGAAAATGGAAACTGAATACAATTTAGGTTTAGTCAAGAATGTCAAAAATGTATTGGTTATGCCAGTTTAAGGCAATTATTATTTTTTTGTCATTAAATGTATTCGAATTCTTCTACTTTTCAAATTTCAAATTCCAAATATTTGCTTTTCGTTCTACAAGAATGAACATAAAATGAAGTTTGTGGGTGGGGATTATTATTATTATTATTATTATTATTATTTATGCATTATACATATTTGTATTTAATTTGCTAATTCATTTGTAAACATGCATATCCATCTATTAATTAATAATATTAAAAGCAAGTACACAGTTACAAATTCGCTTCTCACTGCAAGGAATCTCGAAAACGGTAAGAGATACGAACTAGATTAAATGGGGGCAAAGTTGCGTAATCAGGGGACCAACATTAAGCCTCCAAAAAATCAAGGTTAACATGATTAGTTTTCGAAATATTTGAAAAAAAAAACGAAATTTTGGGAATCCGTGTTTGTTTTATGTCAGCCTTGTTTGAGTTGATATGGAATAAATAAGAACTCTGTCTCAGGGCCACTTTTTGCCCTCTATCGAATGGCACGATCAATTTTTATATGTAACGTTTCGTCTTTCAAGGACCATCAATAACATCATTTTTTTAAAAACGACCCTATAAATTTTATTATATTTTTTTCAAGCCTTCATGACCCTCAATACTGTACCGCCTCAGCCCGAACTAGATTCAGATGTTTTGTCTCCAAAAATTCATCTTCAGTGTATTTGTTCCAAATTTATCTAATTTTTTTATTTAAATTTGTACGTTTATTGAATTATCATACACGTAAGTATCGTTAGACCCTGTGAAATTCATCTAGTTATTTAAACTATTACCACCACTCGTTACAATAAAACATTTATTATTATTAACTATTGCCATCACTCATACATACATACTCGATAAGTTGTTGCGTCAAAATTAAAACAATTTTAATTTTATTATGACAAATTAATTCTTAAAAGTGCATATGGGCAACCAAAAAGCCAACTGAATATTATTCTTTAAAAAATTTCAGAAAATGTTCAAAAACATTTTCGTTTTGGCAAAGGTTGAAAATAAAGAGCAGCGTAATATTATCGGAATTTATTCAGATGTATTTGTATGAATAACCTAAAAAAAATAAATAAATAAATTGATAGGAATTTGTTTGAATTTTGAGCACTCAAGAAGCCTAGAAATAACTATGGGCACGGGATTAAAATTCTAATAATGTTTTATTGTGTACAAAATGAAGTTATTGATGGTCCTAGAAAGACGAAACGTTACATATCAAATTAATTATCCCATTCGATAGTGGGTAAAAAGTGGCCTTGAAAAAGTGTTCTTCTTTTTTCAATTTCACCTCAAACAAGGCTGAAATGAAAACGGATTTCCAAAATTTCGATATTTTTCAAATATTTGGACTAATCATGTTAGCCTTGATTTTTTAGAGGCACAATGTTGGTCCCCTGATTATGCAACTTTGCCTCCATTTAAGCTAGTTCGTATCTCTTACCGTTTTCGAGATCCCTGTAGTGAGAAGCGAGTTTGTAACAGCCTGTATATGCCGATTAGTAACTAATAGATTTATCTTAAACCAAAAAAAAAAAAATATTCATACCTCCTCCATGTCCATGACCCTGTCCATGTCCATGACCCTGTCCATGTCCATGACCATGTCCAAGTCCATGCCCAGATTCATGCCCAGGTCCATATCCAGGGGCGTATCCATAGTGCGATGCTGCTACGTGTTGTTTTGGAACAACTGAAAAATAAGTTATTGTAAGTGCAGTTTCAAATTACGTTGCTTGTCATTTTTTTTAACTATTTTTGCAGCACTTTATTTTCTTAAAGTGAAGTATGTATTAATGTACATCATTTTCGGGGACACTCTGTATAGAGTTGTGAACTATACTACTCAACAATAACGAAACTAAAGTGAAAAAAGTGAATAAAATAAATAATCTTTAATTTGTTGATTTTATTAATTTTTATACGTTTTAATTGCAGACTATCTAATGAACCATTTCCAGTTCCAGTGGAAATTTCAATTAAAAAAAAATGTTGTGTTAAATATTAATTTTTCTGTTGGTGGACCATTTCGATTATGCATGTATTGGGATCATTGAAGTTAAAAGTTCCTTATTTTAAAATTTTATCACCTCAAGTTTTTGCGAAAAATTTCACTATGGACGTAGATTTTTGTGTCAATGTTACAGTTCTGATAAATTTCTATGTTTCTTGTTTCTTATATACGCCATATTGTAATGCATGCTGAACTAAAAGAAATAGAAGAAGAACGATATATTCTAGTTAAAAAAAATCAATGTATTGCCAAAAAAAAGTATAAGAAAAAAAATCGCAAGAGAGGAGAGGATGATTTTCCGGAATCGTAAAGTGTAAAGAAAAATCTGAGACAACAGTGAAATTCTTATCAAAAATTTGATATTTTTAAATTATTAATAAAAAAATAGAAAAAGTTAGTTTATATTTTCAAAAAAAAGCTTAAAAATCAAAACAACTTGAGTCGGCGTGCGCATCGTCAACATCCAATGAAATAGAAGTAATAGAATTATCTAGAACTACCTCCATTTAATCGTTTTTCTAGCTTTGAACTTCTCGAAATCCCTACGTATAAATCACCGGTATATCGAAACTCTACTGTATCAATATCCGCTGAATCCTGTTAAAAGGTTTCTGAAAAATAATCTCCATTTTGGCGGCTTCTGTATACTATTTCGTTGGAAGTATCCCATATCTCTATAACTTAAACTGCTAGAACACTTGGAAAGTCTTACACTCATATTCTATTGCATTCGTAAAGACTACTGAGTAAATAAGTTTATTCAATTTTCAATCTTCCAGATTGCAAAAGAAAGTGAATAAAAAGAATTTAATTCTGCATAGTTAACTTACTGAAACTGCACATTGTTAATGCAACATATTATTCATAGAATTTGAAAATGTTTCGCTAGCTTTAAATTTGCTTTGTGGTAAATTAAAAATTAAAATTAAGAAAGGATTAAAATGCGTTTTTCTCTAATCGCATGCAAATTTGTATTCAATTTAAATCAAAATGAACAATTTTCCAAAAAAAATATTTTTCTTAGCCACTCGCAAATTTAAATAACCGGAAGGTGCACACAGTTGGATTCGTATTTAATTACGAAAGTCATTAATTTGATGTTTTCATTTTATCTCTAACATACACTTTCATATTTAAAGAGAAAAAAATGTTACTTTCTTATAAGTCATACTAGTAGAAAATGTATTTTGCTATAAAGAATTGTACCATCACTGTCAAATTCATACACAATGTCACAATTTTTAGTTTTTTTTTCAATATACCTAATTTATTAATGTTTTGATACAATACTGTTAATTTTTATTTTACATAAATATTCTAAATAATATACTAAACAATCCGCAGATAAGTTGTTTTCCGTCGATCTTGGAATTTCTGCCTTCGTGAGACTTTCTGATTCAAAAATTGAAAACCCTGTACATATTCAACTAAACCACGTTTATTAACCATCAAAAGCTATAAAAAACAGTTTATTAATGTTTGATTATAGAGGATGTCCCACTGGGAACTGCGTCCACCGATATCTAGGAAAGTACTGCTCCGAAAAATTTGAAAAGTGAGAAGGTCACTTTATTAAATATTTCCTATACCTAGGAGTTATAGTCCAATTAACTAAGCCTTTAAATCGAAATTTTGTCAACTTGGCTGAATTTTTGATATGAGTTAGTTTAAGGTATATTATAACAATAAGTGAGAGTAATTTTTTGTTCAACCCCCGGCCAAGGGTGGAAAAAGATAAAACAAAGGGCTTTTTCAAGATAACTCAAAAAGGGTAAGAGCTAGAAAAAAAAGTTTTTCATGAAAGTTGTAAAGCAGACAATTCTACATAAAAATGGTCTCTTAGCTTTTTCTTGTACTATTAAAATTAACAGAGTTAGGGAGGCTAGAAGTTAAGGGAAGATTTCAGAAATTTAATTTTGTTAAATCATTAAAATTAACGATTAAAAATTTGATTTTTTGTTATAACTTTCTTATTAAAAATTAAAAAATATATCTATTTCTCTGAAAAGAAAAGTTACATATTTTAGAGCAGATTGAAAAAAAAAATTACAAAATTCAATCATTTTTCTGTTTGTTATGATTTTTTTTAAATTTCTGAAATCTTCCCTTAACTTCTAGCCTCCCTAACTCTGTTAATTGTAATAGTACAAGAAAAAGTTAAGAGGCCATTTTTATGTAGAATTGTCTGCTTTACAACTTTCATGAAAAACTTTTTTTTCTAGCTCTTACCCTTTTTGAGTTATCTTGAAAAAGCCCTTTGTTTTATCTTTTTCCACCCTTGGCCGGGGGTTGAACAAAAAATTACTTTCACTTATTGTTACAATATACCTTAAACTAACTCATATCAAAAATTCAGCCAAGTTGGCAAAATTTCGATTTAAAGGCTTAGTTAATTGGACTATTATAGATTTTGAGATATTAATTTTTAAAGAAACAATTTGACAGATACAAGTGTTGCTAGTAACTCTTTTCAGGAACGTAATATCAAGGGGATTTTTGGTACCACCTGTAAAGGGCATAGGTAACACTATGTTATGGTATGCTAACAAATAAAAACATTTAATACTAGGTGTTTCATTTTTGCCGTTACATTTTGATAACTTCAAACAGCTATAACTTTGTTAACTTAAATGGAACACCCTGTATTTATTTACTCTGTCGTATGCAGATTGAAATTTCCTTTCAAGCCATATAATCATTGTTAGGGTTGCCGTCACTACTTTTGGAGATATTTACAATTTTCTATTTTTTGGACAGTTTTTCTCGTATCGAGCCTGTTGTCAAATTGGCCATGACCAGAAACACTCCAAAACAATTAAAATAACTTAACATTTGTCAAGTTAGTTGTCAAATTATTATTATGTCTGTAAAAGTTTTTGCTGAAAATTTAAATAAAAATGCTTAGGAATCGTTTAAATTGTACTTATGAGAAATATTTTAATTTGTTTGTTATTTGTGAAAAAAAGCAGCAGATTTTCTACACGTTCCCGAAATTACTTTGTCATGTTTTCCATAAATAACAAGCAAATTAAAACAATCCTCATTAGTATAATTTAAACGATCCTCAGGCATTTTTATTTAAATTTTCGACAAAAACTATTTAGACACAACAATAATTTGACAACTAACTTGACAAATGTCATGTTATTTCAATTGATTTTGGAGTGTTTCTTTCTGGTCATGGCCATTTTGACAACAGATTCGAAATGAGAAAAACCAAAAAAAAGACAATCGTAAATATCTCTAAAAGTAGTAACGGCAACCCTAACAATGATTATATGGCTTGAAAGGAAATTTCAATCTGTATACGACAGAGTAAAAAAGGCAGGGTGTTCCATTTAAGTTAACAAAGTTATAGCTGTTTGAAGTTATCAAAATGTAACGGCAAAAATGAATATTTAATAAAGTCGCCCTCAAATTTCACGTAGAATACGAAAATGTAATAATAAATGCAACTAAGTATACAGGCTGTTACAAATTCGTTTCTCACTGCAGGGATCTGGAAAATGGTAAGAGATACAAACTAGCTTAAATGGGGGCAAAGTTGCGTAACCAGGGGATCAACATTAAAAAAAATCTAAATCTAAAAAATCAAGGCTAACATGATTAGTTTTCCAAATTATTTAAACAAATCGAAATTTTGGAAATCCGATTTTGTTTAATCTCAGCCTTGTTTGAGGTGATATTGAAAAAAGAAGAACACTTTCTCATGCCCACTTTATGCCCTCTATCGAATGGCATAATCAATTTTTATATGTAACGTTTCGTCCAGGACCTTCATCAACTTCATTTTTTTAAATACGACCCAAGAAATTTTATTACATTTTTTGCAAGCCTTCATGACCCCCAATACTGTACTGCCTCAGCCCGAACTAGATTCAGAGGTTTTGTCTCGAAAAACCCATCTTCAGTGTATTCGTTCCAAAATCTAAATTTTTTATTTAGATTTCTTTGTTTATTGTAAGTGTCGTTAGACCCTGTGAAATCCATCTAGTTATTTATACTATTACCACCACTCATTGAAAAAAAAAAATTATTTCAGTTTTATTCCCGTGTCCATAGTTATTTCTGGGCTTCTCGAGTGCTCAAAATCCAAACAAATTCCGATCTATTTTTTTCAGCATATTCATACAAATACATCTGACATACTCTTTTACAGTTGCAGTTATAAGTATAATAAATTCCGATAATATTACGCTCATATTCATTTTCAAACTTTGCCAAAACGAAAATGTTTTTGAACATTTACTGAAATTTTTTAAAGAATAATATTCAGTTGGCATTTTGGTTCATATGCATTTTTAAGTATTAATTTGTGATACTAAAATTAAAATTGTAATAGATAATGTTTTAATTCTGACGCAACAACTTATTGAGTTATGTATGAATAAGTGATGGTAATAGTTAATAATAATAGATGTTATTGTAACGCGTGTTGGTAATAGTTTAAATTTAAAGAAAAGCCAAAGAAATTTGTATGTTAAAGTGTGTATAAAATTTTTATTAAAATCTTAGCTGAGCGCTTTCGACTACATAGTCATCATCGGAGCTATTCCTAAAATATCAACAAGAGGTTGAAATGATATTATATAAAGCAAAAAAATTTTTACTTACGTTAAATTTTAGATACCAAAAAATATTTAGGA